CGCAATTATGGTAGTTGTCGATCATTTGACCAAACGAGCGCATTTCTTTGCAATCACCAATGAGTTCTCAGCATCAGACCTTGCCTGTACTTTCTATGAGAGGGTATGGACACAGCATGGTCTTCCGAGACAGATTATCTCGGATAGAGGTACTCAGTTTGCAAGCGCATTATTCCAAGAAGTATGCAAGCTCCTTGGGATACAATCAACAATGTCGTCCACATATCATCCGGAGACCGATGGTCAAACTGAAAGAACAAATCAGTCGCTAGAGCAATATCTTCGTATTTATATGGATAAACGCGTGGAAGACTGGAGTACTTTACTTCCAACTGCCGAATTCACCTATAACAATCAGGCTTCTGAAACCACTAAGAATTCACCATTCTTTGTCAAATACGGTAGACATCCACGTGCAGAACCAACAATAATGGACCCTATAAAGCATAATACGCTAGATCCCATAATGCAGGCACGAGTAGAAGCGCAAGAGCAAGCAAAAGCAGCCATTCTATTGGCAGCTGAGCACATGAAGTGGTACTACGATCAATCCGTACGACCCGCACCTTTCAAAGTTGGAGATCAAGTATTACTTTCCACTAGAGATTGGCAGACATCGGGAGCCAAATTGGCACAACGGAGAGATGGACCCTTCAAAATCGTAGAAAAACTAGGACCAGTCACATATAGACTCAAAATGCTGCGACAATATGGCGTTCATCCAGTTTTTCATGTGTCCAAGCTCACGCTCTACCACAAAGATGAAATACCAGACCGCACTCTCAGACCCCGTCCTCCTATCAAGAAGAAGACTGGCGAAGAATGGGAAGTCGAATACATAGTCGACTCTTGTGTCATTCGTGGCAAACTTCAATATTTGGTGCATTGGAAGGGTTATTCTAAAGCCGAAGAAACTTGGGAACCCGCAGCAAATTTGAAGAAATCTCCGCGTCTCATCAAGGAATTTCACAGAAAATATCCTGACACACCTCAACCAATATCTCTCATTGATACAACTCCAGTCGATGGTGTTTTTCCACCCAGGAGAACACGTCAAGTCTACGACCCCGCCACTGATACCATTCAGATATACGATCAAGATAGAGATGATTGGGATCATTCTAGAGATCTTCAAATTACATTAGACAATCCAAATGCACACGCACCAAAATATGCCCATGAAGACGATGCTGGAATGGATTTAGCCACATCAGAACCAACAACCATCCGAGCACACTCAAGAGGATTGGTATCCACAGGGCTTCACTTTACAACACCTCGAGGGACCTATGGTCGAATTGCACCACGAAGTGGGTTAGCTGTCAAAGGCATCGACGTAGGTGCTGGTGTTATCGACAGAGGATACACAGGCGAAATCAAGATTTTGCTAATCAATAATACAAATGATGACTTCACAGTCAATTTGGGCAATCAAGTCGCTCAACTTATCATTGAACATATTATCACCCCTGTCGTTTCACTGGTTGATTACCTCAAACCCTCAGCCCGAGGTCACCGTGGATTTGGTTCAACAGGTGATAATTACTTCCAGAAACCACGCAAAAAGCCAGATTCAGAACGAACTGTCTAGAAGGGGGGGTACTGTCACAGATTTTCACGTTTTCACCTCTGCACGTGACCAAGACATCATTTGACATCAGCGCTAGGCTGTTCAGAAAGGAACAAACCAGTACGTCAAGTACTAACAGTCCTAGATGCCCCGAAGGTCCAGGTCTAGTCACGTGACATATCACGTGATATCCACACATGTGACAAGTAGCGCTGGTATTAGGTAAGCCTAACTTATACAGTAATATCATCCCACCTAGAAGCAACGGTCAGACTCCGGAAGAATTCAACGAAGGGGATACACGCCACCGGAGATATGTCCTTAAGGGGATATTAGTTCACATGCATGAGGTAGATAGATACCACGCCACCGGAGATGTAGCCATTACAGGCAATACCATTCCCATGGTCTTACTAAGTAGTTCGGAGGTTCGGCATGCATGACACACATAGTCTGACAGGTAGTGGTAACCAATCAGACAATGTCCATTAGCTAGCAGTTCTGGGGGATCAGGGTACCAAGGGTCCCTCCGTTCATGTATATAAGCCAGAGCTCTGAGACGCATAAGTCCCCCAGACTTATTCTCATCTCTGCTACGCCTATCCATACAGTGTTACCAGTGCCCACTTGCAAGGCACTGCTTTACCTTGATCATCTTTGTGTCCATCCTTACGTCGACAACAGTCAGTAAGTGTTTGATCATAAGGTCATAGGCTTAGTCAGCGCTCTGCGTCCTAAGTTTGTGATAGAGACCAATATGAAGGTTGGCATCTGAATAACCACTTGTGGTTGCCAAATGATGACTTTAATGGTGCAAAAAGAAAGGTGCCACCTAATACTGTGACAAATTGGAGTTACGCTTGCGATTCAATGTTGACCATCCTGTGGAACATATATGCTGACAAAGGTGGACAGTGTTTTTCCCACATTGCATCAGCCAGTGCCCTGCTGCAGCATGTTGAGATCAGCTTTCGAATGTGTGCAGCTGATTCATGGGAGACATGGAGGTATTTTTGAGCATGGACAGCTAATTAGATAGTCAACCTTCAACCATAATAAGTGAATGTTACATGTGCTGCCACAAATCTAGAATATGATAGCCACAATGAAACTGTGGTATATGACAAACCATAGTTTGAGGGTCTCATACTTCTCGCAAAACATTCAACATAACAGATTGGCAGAGGTTGCCAATTATATTTCCATATTTGTGACTACACACATTCTGCAAAGTTTGAATTTGCCCTGTAAGATTTTGCTCGATCTCATGTATGGTCTCCGATGTTAATTTTGCTACACAAATTGCGACCAGTGCAAATAATGAAATAGAATCTGACTATCTAGTTATCATTTGCTCAGCATATTACATGCTTGAAAATGGCACCATGTCTCCTGTGATTGTTGCTTCCCGGAACTAGCACAAAATGCTCTCCGCGATCATCTCTCATGTCTTAAGCTGCATACTTTTCTTCGCTCTGGCTCTGTCAGGTGCACAGCATCTGACCTCATGGAACATCTTTACACTGTCAATTCGACTACCTGCTCATTAGTGTCTACATGCCTTATGTGCCCAGAAATCACCCTTTCAGTCATAGGCTCAAACCAATTGCGAACATCTCATTCAACATCAATCTGTTTCATTCAGCTGATGTGGAACCATGACCATCGATGCAGACCACATTTCAATGCATGCACACTCTCTTCCGTGCATGATGTGGTTCTTGTTGTGAAGCTTGTCATGGGAACACTGAGAGTTGCATCATGATTCATCACCTCCTGCTGTTTTTGCTCTGGAAGTGTAGCTGGAATCGACACCTAGCCAGCCAGTGCTTCAAATAGAGAAAAAGTGCGTGCTAACAACTGATCGTGGAGACACTAACTACTCACTGGCAGGATTCGTCTATGCTGGGGGGTTCCACTTCACCTGCCGGTTCATTGTTATTGATGGCAGTGTGTGGTACCACGATGGTAGAGAAACTGGTCAGTCGTGCCAATCTAGAATCCACCACCCCCACTTCCGTAGATTTGCTCCATGCACATGACAGAGATGCCACCATTTTATTCTATGTTTTAGACCATTGAACCACCCATCTTCCCTGGTGCTTTCACTGGCCACATCCATTTATCTCTTTTTTAGTATGATTTCTGTTCGAACCCTGAGCAATCTGCCCTGTGAGATTTATTATGCTCCTGATTGTCTCTGTGCACCATCATCTCTGTAACATGGTTTCCAGAGGCCCATCACTTTTTCCACCACTCTTCAACAGATGGATGCTCAATTTCTCTACTCTGCATGCTTTGTATACTTCCTATGTACATAATTTGTCTTCTGAACTGTTATTTGGAACCGGCGCTGCTGCGCCAACTCCACCCAAGTGTATGCTGGGCAGTGCCGACTCTCGAGGGCGCGTGCTGGCGCACGTGATCGCGTCAGAGTGACTCAGTCACAATTTGCATGATGCGATTAGATTGTGACTAACTGCTTTTTCGGGACGTAAAGTCGCCCGATTAGGGCGTAGTGGTGCGAAATTCACGAAAACAAAATATCTTCACGTCCGTCTGCGCTGTGCTGTGCAGTGACATACGTTCGAGCTCATTTAAGAAAATTGTCCGCATTTGCAAAACATTAATACACAGTTAGACGGGACACTAGGATACACAGGCAGTCGAAGAAGTGTTCGTAATATCCAAACGAGCAAAAATCTCTACACCGCATTATGAGGATGCAGAGTCAATGAGGACTCCCTCCAAGCAGAATCGTACAGAGGCGGTCGTGTCAAAGTCATATGGCCTGCGTCACGCTCGTGCGAGCCAGGAGAGCGACCGAAGAGCGTCGGCGTGGACGCCGCACGTTGCCTGAACTGCGCAATGTTCGGGGATCGCGAGAGCCCGGTGGCGCGATGGACGGGAAGAGGGGGCATCATGTACGCTTTTAAGTCTGGAAAGGTATGTCATTACATACGAAGGATGAGATAGCTCACGTAATCTCAGTCGCCGAAGACCACTTACAAGGATCTGGACTATAATCCGGTGCCAAGTGTCGATCGCTTTGGGCAGTTGGCGAAGTTAACTGTCGGGGAGAGAGAGGAAAGTCGCTGATTCGAGATTGTAGTAAATCAATGGGCCGAGTGCCCCGGCGGCGCTCACGCCGGCGAATAAGGAAGAAGAGAGCGACAATTACTGCGCACGCAGCCAACGCTGCTCCTACCTATCGGGGCGTCAGTCACTTAGCTAACGTGATATGCTTGAGACGAACCGCAATGCCGACCATCGTTCCTGCACCCGAAGGTCGCGACTGTGATGGCAGTTCAGATGGCTTCGCAGAAGAACTGGTCGTAGAGGTTGTAGCCGAGATGGACGATGGAGCTGGTGCGGTCATAAAACCGGAATGAAGCACGGACGGTGTAGGAGTAGGAGACCTATCGAAACGTCAACACGCGTTGCTACGGGGCTGAGAGTGGACAGAATTTACATACGGAGGGACGGCATCAAAAAGCATGACTTGAGCGAGGTCAAACACGGCTTTCTGCATGTTGGTGACGGTAACCGTATAGTTCTGCGTCCTATCCATCCCGGTCGCCAGATACTTGATCTCATTCAGTGCGATCCAATGAGAAGATGCATTGTATTGCATACTCCCCACGAAGCCGTCTGGAGGGGGTGGATCCAAAGTAACGTTGTACGCGCCGTGATCATAATCGCAGCTGCCAAGTATCGCAAAACCCACGGTCGAGTTGAGCAGAAACGTGAGGGAGGCGCTCTGCATATCAGTGACCACACGTGGATAAGACTCGGTAGTATTGTCGTAGGCATAGGAGCTGTTGACAGTCCAATAATCGCCGTTGGACGAAAACATGGGATTTGCAGTAGGCGGTATGTTGTTTGTCACTGCCGAGATGTTGCGCGTCTCCAGGATGGAACTGTACAATAAAGGCTGCGTCAGCGGCCACAAGCGTTTGGACCGTATAAACTGCAACGAACCCGGTCTCACCCAGTCCGACTGTTATCGTTGCTCCCAATACCGTGACCGGCGCCTTCACAACCGTGAGCGTCACCGAATGCAGTCCATATTCCAAGTCCGTCAAACTGAAGAGCGTTCCATCGGACGAGTTTGTGCCCGCTCCAGCGATAGCGCTGCTGCCGTCGAGCTGCACATCATATGCAGCTGGATCAGCGAGGCCATAGAACCATATCGCAGTACCCGTCCACTCGAGCTCGACAGATGCACCGACCAGTTGCGTCGTGTACGAGCTGACCTGTGCGATAAGCGACGTCTTGCTCAGGAGATAGTATCCCAGGATGTGCGGAAGACTCACGAATGCGTCGGGATAGTCGCCCGGCTCCCAAGCCAGGTTGGTGTTCGCGGAGTACGAAACGTTCCAAGAGGTTTCAAGCGGTCCATCGCGGAACGGACGGTATTGTAGAAGAGGAGACTGATCTGTTAAAGAGAAATTGTACAGGGCGAGAGCAAGAGACATGTTTCATAAATTCGTGAAAACAAAAGATCGTGTGGAGTCTCGGTGGAGACGGTCGTATTCTAGATCGCTCGCCGGCAAGCTGAACGAAGATGTGGGTGCAGACGAAGAAAGGACATACGGGACGAGCCGAACAGCGGGGTTTGATGATATAGAATTCACCCCATGGAAGATGTGTGGCGTGTATATATGCGGAACAAGGACCCGCCGGGCATAATGGAAACGCAGACAGGTGGGGGTGAGGGGGTGAGGGGAGGGCAAGACGTTGCATCGCGACCGATCCGTTTGTTGAAATACAGCATAGATATTATAATCACGTATGTGATTGGTCGCCTATCCGCGCCACAACGCATGGATAGATATATAGCCATTAGCGTGTGGACACATTATGTGTGGCCGGCCTGACCGACCTGACCGACAGCGACATGCCTCGTCTGTAAGAAAGTACTCTGCTCACACTTCTTCACATTTTTTGACAGCGACAGGCTCGTGTGCCTGTAAGAGGTCGCCACGCGGCAACACATTTTTAGGAGTGGAATTGCTACATTCCGCAGCCCGGACGCCTCAGTCACAGATTTTCTGTTCTGTGATAATTGGGCAAGCTTGAGCAGAGAGCATGAGCCGTGCTCTACTAATATATCCTCCGTCGCCTGGAGGGTGACGCGTCCTCGGTCTTCCTCGATGTCGATACAGTTTCCTGTCACGGAAGTATCATCGCAAACGACGCTTCCTTGTAACTCTGCTTGACAGCTCGCGTACCTGTTTCATGATCTCCAACGAGGATGAGGGCGTGCGAGAGCAAAAAAAAACAATGGTATCGAGCGCGCCGCCTCATTGCAACTGCATCGCGATCGCGGAGCTACTGCTAGTTGGAAGCAGCAGACCGGAGCAAAGCAGCACGCCGCGGGCGGCTTGCATCATGCTGGAAATGTAACGAGTTGAGAAATAATGGGGTGGCGCACGTGGTCACTCACAAGTGTAATCGCTCCGGCGATCTAGATGCGTGGTGGCTCGGAGTCAGAGCGGAAGCTCTTCTCATTGCCTGCCACTGTTTGCCTCACTTTTTGTTTGCCATACGCTGGACCCTTAAACTATACAGCTCTTTAGTCAGACTGCTAGGTGACAACACATCTTAGTGATTTTGTTGCAACCCTGGGAACACACAAGTTGAAAATCAACTTGAATGTCTGGATAGTGACTGTGTCTTTTTGACAAAGAGAGATATTTCGCGCCGAAATTACTTTCCGCGATGGTGATATCTCAGATAGCCAGTCAGACTCTGCTAGTGCCAGTCACCTCAGCTGAAAGCCCATGCAAATCTACGAAGCCAGTGGGACCTCCTGTCAGCTAGAAGCAATCAATGATTAATTCCTCTATGTATCCAGCTGTGCATAGCAAAACCATGTAAACTGGGAACATTTGATGGCTGTGGCTGTGAAATATCACGGCAGACATGGTGCGATTTATCAACGAGTAAGATTGTGTGTAAATGTCGACTGATTTCTTACACATGTGACAAATATTTGCAACCACGGCACTTCATGTCGAAAATGTTTCACTTTGGCTGCGAATGTGCACTATTTGCCATTTAAATACTATATTGGCAAACCTTTGCCACAAATGTAAGACATCAGCCAACATTCCCACACTATTTTTCACACTGATAAATCTCATCATGTCTGCCGTGTATGGTGGTGCCTACTGGAAAACACATGAGTTTATTTTTTGCAGTTTTTATTTAAGTAGGAATTATACCCTGCTACCATACAGCGGATTGTGACTACTGCAAAGTAATTACACAAAAAAGTATGAGGTGGGCAAATGCGGAGGACGGAGAGGATGCACGAGGCGAGAAAGAATAGTCGGAAAAAGCTATAAAAAAGAAAAGGTATAATGTTGGGTGAGCTCGAGATTCGAACCTCCGAACACGTGACATGCAGCGGTGACAATGACCCCTAGACTAATTGTCCATGTAAAAAGTTATTTCTTTATATTATATTTCTCATTCAACGTCTGGCGATATTATTTCTCTACCATCTTGAGCATGAGGGACCACAGCCGACGACCTTCGTATATGTTTTATGTAGGCCAAAAGAATTCGGGTGATAGCTTCAGATGCGTCATCATACAGGCACTGGTGACCGTACGTTTCCGCTCCCACCAACAGCTCTGTACGCGGGAGAATTGCTTGCGGCAAGAGTCGGTCGCCTTCCGGTCAACCGAGGCACGCGTAGAGTTTGTGACTTTGTGACCTCTATCTGACTTTACTGTAGGCAAGATCGGGGTAGCGAGATCCAAGCACTCCGAGAACAATCAAATCTCATCCTGTCCAGCAGCACCCTAGAACGTTTTCACCAGCCAAAAACATGGCAATCTAGCTCATTATGCAAGGCAATCATGAGACGTCCATGGCATCCGCATCGCCAGCGACAGTCTCTACGTCCCCATCGCCCTTCTCTTCTCTCGCCCTCTTAATCTCCCTTTCCTCCTCCGTTTCGCCCAATGCCGTAGCGTCCCGTTTCCCGAGGACCGTCTGCACTTGTGCTTGCTCCTGCAGCTTCGCCGCCAATGCCATCTTCTTCCTCAAACGCGCCTGCTCGCGTTGCGTCAGCTCGCCCTCTTTATTCTGCTTGCCTTTGCCCTTGTCCTTCAGCTGCGACTGCGAGGTGGGCTCTGGCGTGCCCTCAAAATCTCCCTTGAACGGGTCGTGTTCCGGGTCGACGTTTTTCGGCAGGGAGGAGAGTGCCGAATACAGGTCGAGGGCCTTCCGGTCCGCGGCGGTTGCTGAGAGAGGCACTTCAACGTCTCCCGTCTTGAATATAAATAAAATAATCATACCTGGTATCGCGCATGCCGTCTGGAGGCAAGAAAGGAGAGCGGGTGCCTGCTGAGCGGGAACTCTCACAGGCTGAGATGCACTAATCAGCGAACTCCAACCGAATAGAAACAGGCGAGGTACTAACCTCTCCAGAAGTCCAGGACAACAACGCAGCGAGTGGCACCTGTTCTTCGTTCTCTTCTTGTCTATCCGTATCACTCTCCGGGTCCAGCAACACCCACGTCGTGTCATTCGGGCCAACCGTGAAGTCGAGCACAGGTCGACGGAAATCGAAAGCCCGCACTGGTGGTGGCGAAGTTGCACCTGTTGCCTGAGGGAAGGAGCAATAGAAGAGTGCAGTCGCTCTGCAACGCTCAATCAGCGTCATCTTAAAGAATTCGAGACAAGCTGGAGTTTACCCAAGAACATTGAAGACGAGGAAGCGGCCACGCTCGCCGAAGTCAAGAGAGTCTATCTTGTGAACAACCAACACCGTTTTCTCGTTGTCGGCGTTCCCCTGAGCTACAGCACGCTTCTCACTCAAATCTTCCGCTTGGTCTCCCTCCATCTCCGCGTCTTCTTGAGCGTCCAGCATCCCTTCCGCCCCTGCTGATTCCTCAGTCCCCGTCGCGCCCTTCTCAGCTCTTCGCCTGTCCCTTCCCTTCCTGCCCCTCTTCCTCCGTCTCACCGTACTGTTTTCGCCCTCGCCATCTCCTCCCCCCTGATCCTCGTCTCCTCCCCATCTTCTCTTCTTTGCCTTCACCTTGATGTAAGGCTCGACCGTCTCGAGAACAGGAATCTCGGAAATAGGCTCGCCAGACAGCCAATCCCAGAGGTTGATCGTCAGATCGCCCCCACCAGAGACGAGCATCGATGGTGCGAACGGAGGAAGATGAAGAGCCGAGACGTACCTGACCGGAAAGTAGCAGGAATGTCAAGAACAGCGGGATTGTATAAAGCTTGGGACATACTTCTCGTGTCCCAGACAGTAGCTCTCGATCACGTATCCCTGCGGATACCAGCTCACGCGGATGTGCTCATCCCGGTCAGCAGTGATGATGAATCTCTCGTCCGGGGTTAGCAAGAAGTCGGTGAGCAATGAGACGTGCCCGAGGATGAGCTTGCCATCGGAGGGGTTTTCATGTGAAGTGAGAGCACTGCGCTTAGAGCTACCTGGCTCTGGGGTAGATATAGCTGACTCGGTCTGCGTTGTTGATGGTTCAGAAAGCTTTGGTAGGGGATGAAGGGGATAGCTATGGGACGGTGAGACGAAGTTTACCCGGATGGTCTGTGAGGCATACCTGAAGATGTCGCCGAACTTGTCGGAGACAAGGATGGTTTGACCGTCGCGTATAAAGTGAATGGTGGTCGGCTTTTTGGGGAGTTCTCTGATGAAGAGTCCGTTAGATGTTGACATTGAAAAATATAAGAATTACGCACCGCGCGTTTAGTAGCTCCAGCCCATCCAATTTCCAGACTTTCAGCTTTTTCTCATCTCCGGCAGTCACCAAATGTGTGAATGTGTCATTGACAGCACTGCAGCGTATGCCTCCCGATTTCAATACTGACGCTTTTGTGGCTTCATCCAAGTTCACCGTGGAATGTAACACGGAGCCGTTTCTGGGGAAAACAAGGATCCTCTGAGGTCAGCCGGTCAGAAGGTGTGCAGGGAGCATAAAGGCACATTACTTACTGGGTGTCAACCACTTGGATGTGTGGTCCAGAGAGGACGACCGCCAGAGGGCGAGATGGGGAGAGCAGCAGATGAGTATGAGGGAAAGACATTTCGGCAGCTCAGAGAGAACAAGATAAGTAGCTTATCAAAAGATTCAGCCAGTAGTACTCGACGGAGGCGGTCATAAAGGTGCAATTTAGATGTTAAGTCTACATATGATCCTGCGAAACGAAAACACGCTCGTTAGTGTGACAGACGCGTGATGCATGGTGACTCATCTGTGACCCATCGCGTTTAGCGCTGGCCGTGGGCTTCCCGGCGCATCAATCATGGATCGTATCACTCTTGCCAAGTTGCACTGGAGACATGGAGGCATTTGTCACCGTGTAATATGTGTGACAAATATGAACTGGTATTTTACCTTTGTGAAAAGGATCTGGTGCAATTGTAATTACCGTTATATATTTTGAATTTGTAACTTGGGTTGTCACCATCGCAAATCCGAGTTGACTTATTTTGTCTATGGCTGGGGGCAACCATAAAATAATGCACAGAGTATATGGCTCTGCTACAAATATACCACTATATGCTTCAGTGTGAGGGCCAATGAGCTAATTTGTGTCTGGATACTCTACACTGGCATAGTTCTTGTGCAGTGTTTGAAATTATGTACCCTCAAAATAGATAGAATATATAATACTGATTTGCCATAATGGTATGTCAAGTCCTAAATTTGGAATATGAAATGCCAATTGTGATGGAGACGAATCCTTTTTGCAAAGGTAAAATACCAGTTCCCATTTGTAATGCATATTACATGGTGGAAAATGGCTCCATGTCTCCGGTGTTGGCAACATACAAAAGGCTGCCGCTAGGCTAAAGTTTAACGTTCTCGTCGCTCGAAACCACGACCTCCATTGTCTTTCTTCGTGTCACGAAAACGTGGCTGCCTCGCAATGGCTCAGAAGTCTCTGCTATCGCGCCCTCTGGACCTAGTCTACTTCTCATTCTTCCTCGTGCGTGTGCTTTAGCGCGAATTGAACCGCACAGAATAACGGGCTTATGTCCATGAGCTTGGCAGATGCACACTTTAGCAACGATCATCATGGATCTTCAGGCTATCTATCCGGCGCATCTAATTCCGGCGTTCATGAAAGAGATAACAAATTACTATTTGTCTACTTATAATGACCCTTTGATCGGCGGGGTGATGGGCTATTTTGGAAAGACCGACAAGTTTATCTGGTTCGAGACGTTTGTGTGGATGGAAGCGTACGTGGCAAAACATGAGCTACGTGCGTAAATGTCGTCTAATCACAGCTCCTAGATTCTTCCAGCTTCCAATCTTCCTGTTGGGCATGCGTGGACTTTGGAAAGGTGAGTAATCAGATCATAGCGTGTGGTCACGCCCAGCTATAATCATTATCTCGCGCAGGTTCCCAATCCATCTATGTTCTCCTGCTCATCTATGCTGCATCGTCGGTCACAACCACGATGCCCTGCCTGGCAGTCATTCTCAGTACACCCATCACCTCTGCAGAGACGCTCGCTGCCAAGGTCGTATCCGTCACCGCAGAGCAGAGAGCCAATCTCCTCATGAGCTATGTCCCGTTCTTGATCGTACCTCTCCTGATGGCGATCGACATGGGCTTCCGTGTCTTGAAGCTCATTAGGATCGGTGTGGCCGCGGAGGTTGCAGCCAAGAAGAAGTAATTTTATCCTCTTGTTCCGCAATCGACCATCATCCAAGAGATTTACTGAAATTCTATCTCCTCCTTTGGTGACAAAACTCCCGAGTCTTGCAAGCGAGCAATCGCATTTCCATCAGTCCATGACGTCCATTCTCACAGACCATTACTACCACTGCTCAATAGCTATGATGAAATCATTGGTTGTCGTCTTCTTCATTCTGATGTAACTACTCAACACCATTGCTATTATTAATACCACGATGGGAATCTGCAGAGTCAAATACGGATAGATAATTGGATAGCTTCTGAGGCTGTCGCGGAAGGTTGGCTCCGCTATAGGTACGCGCCTTTACCATCTATAGCAGTGATATACGTCGATGCTAATGGATACTGGCCTCGGCAAGCCCTGACGCAGCCCATCTGATATGAGTATGCAACGGACGATCTCGTTGCCACGACATCATCTCTAGGGCGAACTTGCTCTTTTCACTGAGTGCAGAACGCAAATACGCTAGCGGATCATTGACCCAACGCCAACAGTACTCATCGTCAGGAGGAATCTCCCGTCTAATGAACGCATCATGAGCCTGCTGGCGCTGAAAGTCGACGTAGCCCGGCCGACTAACGCAATTGCGAGTTCCTGTTTTCATTCCATTGAAGGAGCTGTGAGTGTCGCATGGTCATTTGTGGTAGTGCAGTCTGTGTATCGTATCTGTCTCACAAGATCTATAGCAATAGTACTCGTCAATGTAAAACTCGTAGGGTGACGGTTTGGTCTCTATGAAAGGGTGTTGCACTGTTTCTCGACGATATCATAGGCCACCTCCTCAATGTACGCCTTGCGCATTCCTGCGTCCGTGGAAACGACGTCTCTTTCCAAGTCTATGCGTCCATTGAAATGTACGTGACGTCTAGTTAGTTCTTTTGGATTATCATTGAGTGTTATTGGGGATCTGCTCATTCGTCTGAGGGATCGAACGGGAAGACATCGCTCAAATAACGTGGAATGAAGTGGCGCGGAAGAGATATGCTGGGGTATGGATAGAAAAGAGAATCCTCGTTTACGTACATATTCCTGCGCCGCTCTCTTACTAGCGGCTCTATGACCAGTAGCAGAATATGCTAGCTACACGCCCCTTGCCACATCGTGTCTTAGTACACGAATTCAGATCTTGCTTGGGACAAAAAGTTATTATGAGCCACTCTCTAACACAATATCTTCAGTATTTTATTCTCGATGCATATTACAACAGTATGGCTATTGCATTGGGCCTAGGATGCGTGCGAAGACGCGTTCATCACGTGAGCGCGTTGTCTGTGAGCGCTTGTTTTCTCCTCTACTTGTTGAAATTGCGCAGACCATCCTGCAGTTACTTGACACTATTGTCAGTATCCCGTGGACATAAGATGGGGAACTCCATACTGATGGTGTGTGTATAATGTCTTTTGTAGAACAATACGCGGACCGATATGTTGTGTTTCAGGTCTGCACGCACCTGACGCGTGGTTACGCACTGCCTTCGGTTAACATGGAGAAAGTTTTTAACTGTACGTACCTTCCGCGTGTTACCCGAAGATTTAGAATTTGACTGCGTTGCTCGAGATTCGTGGACTATATCAACTTTGCAGAGTATCCAACGCGTTTTGGGCCCTTGGGATGCTACATCGTCCGTCGAGCCTTGGTAAAATCACGACGATATGGATTGGCCTAAGACATTGTGGAAGCTACCCACAATCCACACGATTAATCAACGAAATGGATCCGTATTAGGTATCTGGTTTCCACGAGAGAGGGCATCGATAGTGAAAGCAGTAATGGCCGGCGATTTCGCATACAGCAGAGCCTGATCGTGTCTACTCTTGTCCTAGCTCCTCTGGGCAACAACACTAATGCACGCTCCCATAAAAATGTCGCACATCTCTTCCTCCTCGTCCATTTCGTGCGCCAGCGCTCCGCATGTCTTCATACGAACTGTACAACGTCTCTTTCACAGACCTTTCTCCTCTATGCCAGTACAATCCTTATCGGGACGGCGCCATCGATTCTTCATGGACCATCACGTATCCTGATGGAGACGCACGGGTGAGTCTGCCCTCCTTCGTCGACGCGAATTCGTGGAGGCCAACACATGACAATTAGACAAATGCATACACAACCTATTTAGAGGGTGCTTCGGTTGACATCCAATGGGTTGGCACCGCTGTCTGGGTTTATGGACAAGCGAACTTGAGCCAGTATGAAGTTCAGACATCATGGGGAAGTGGGACAGTTCTTGGAGAAGGGACTAGCTCAGCCGGGGGCTTGCTTTATAGCCAACAAGGACTGAACTATGGGCCGCAGTCCATTTCACTGATAGCCCTCAGCGGACCCGTCACGATACAGAATGTGATAGTCACAGTAGGAATGGGTGACCTTGGGTACGTTTGTGCAGCAGTACAAAGGAGGAATCCCTTCTCATAACTTACAGCACCTCTCTGGAAACCCGGAACGTATCGGCTGTGACAGGTTCAGATTCGGACCTCGAGGTCAATCCCTACTTCACTATATCTAGTGAGGCCGGCTGGTTAGCAGAATACGACTATGGCGGCGATGGGCTTACAGAGAACTACCCTCGGATCGAGACTGGTACGCCGGGCGCTTGGGTCTCGTTCAATGTCAGCACGGCTGTGGCTGTTGCCATCTACGGGAGTCTGCGTTATGATCAAGGTGGATACAGTGTGAACATTGATCCTGCACCTCCATTGTGGTCGAACACTACCTTCCAGCTGAACGCCACACTGCCATGGCTGGTTCGGAACGAGCTCAAATTCCTCGCGACAGGACTAGACAGAACACAAAATTATACCATCAATTTGACCAACAGAGAGGCTGGACTGAATGTGGCGCAAGTCGTTCTCTACGACGCTCCTCCCGCGTAATCAATTTCGTCCGCTGTCGATCTACCGCGCACTGAGTGTATCTTTTGGGTAGTTCCACATCTTCATCAGCAAGCTCTCAAGCTTCGTCTGCGTCTGCCATCTCAACCGCGACTGGCATTTCGTTGAAGTCATCACGAATGTCTCACTCCCTCAGCGCAGGTAGCATTGCTGGTATTTTGGTAAGCGTATCTCCCCTCCCTATCCTCATTGTGCAAACTGATTTAATGCTTTCGAAGGTGGCATGCATGGTGACACTTTGTACCATCTCTGTTCTCATTGTTTGCCTTGTTTATCGCCACAAGCGACGCAGGCGCCAAATTGACATCGACTCTCCGTATGACGAGTACTGTGATCAAAATGAAGTGTACCACCCTCGCGAAGGAAATGAACGTGAATTCCGGAACTCGATGCAAGAACACGGCCTTCCTCTCTCCTTGCCTTCTCCCTGTAAGCCACCGGCCTTTCTGACACTTGTTCTCGCCAGCCACCTGACAAAACCGGTATAGATACAAAATGCTACGTTGAGTCCACCAGTGCTGTCCAAAGTGATGCCGCCTCTTCATCCCAAGTCCAAGATACAGGAAGTACGGGCCTGAAGGCCGAAGTGCATGCGACGTCGCCGTTGGCCACATCCGCGGACTTGGCAGAGCGTTCGACCTCAAGAGCTGTTGATCCGTACTTCGTCATCCGCGAGGAAGATGCAGGACGGATTCCTGTTATTGAGCCCCCGTTATATGATCCAGCGTGGAACGAGGGTGCATTGCCTGCAAGGCAAATCATAGGTGGGGACGAGATGAATTGACCACGCATAGTGGCTCGTGAGATATGGTATAGAGAAAAACTGCAGCATACTTTCGCGTTCCGATATTAGGTACAGCGATGAGCGTAGCCATCAAGTAAGTCTCTTCTTTTCCCTAGGCCTGTCTCTGCAATGTACCGCGCTGACTGCACACACCATAACCGTTCCACCAGATATATCTCCGTACGCATGAACACTTTCCATCCGTACTACTGAGCCATATATCTCATTCATGATCTTAGTTTTGCGTGCGGGACAATAAATGCAATTGAAACAATATTAGGTAAAGCGGGCACGTGATGGTACTATTCGTAATTGAAAGTACGCGTACCCGCGTGTCCAACTTCAAGTTGAACACTTTACGTGACACTCCCAATAATCCAGGGTGGTTAGCGTCACACTGGCAGCTGCAGCATTCATAATCTCCTATGTGTACATCGTCTGCTCATTCTCATGTCGATCAAGTTGTCAAGGTTGATTTCCTCAAGGCACAACTCAGTGCTGAGCTTGGTGGGTGGATGCACGTAGCTAGATCTGATGTCGAGCCGATACTGTGGCGTTGGCTGAAAGCACAACTGTCTCGGACAGAGCAGAAAGTCCTCCATCACAGCATCCCAACATTCATGAGAAGTTACTGTGAGGAGGGGTGGACGATGTTGGACAAACGCTACATGCGGGAGTCCGAGTTGCATGTGTCCTTCCTCCACATATTCCGAATCGTCAGGAACTATTTAAGCAAAGTCGTTCCCGGGAAGCTCAAGGGCACCGCGAAGAACATGGATGGTGTGCACGTGAACCACGATGTGCCCAAGCTATACACCAGTCCGGACATCGTGATTTTCGACAGCAACTGCAGGACATGCAGCAATGCATCAATTCCTTACTACTGCCATGCAGGCAGTGCTGTCGATATCAAGTTGGATAGCAACACGGAAATGGAGTCCGACGGAGTGAAACTTGGTATATACGCGCGTTGAATGCTAATCGAACTAGGCTCATAAATCAGCCTTCGTACAGGAAGACACACTCGTTCCTTATACTCAGGCTGAGATCGTAACTCGAGGTCCAAAGGGAAGACCCCCCGTGGGGAACGCGGAGTTTCAACGTGCCGACGGCAATTCGACGCTCGAAGCTTTGGCGCTGGTCGGACACACCACGTGATCGCGTTGTACAGAACGCGTCTGTAAAGGCACTCACCGCAGACATGAAGCGATTTGCACATGTGGCAAATGCTTAGCAAATGTCGACAGGTTTTTTGCCTTTGTGATCTCAATTTGCTAC